CCCCATGGCCAAGCTCTGAAAAGGCCATCCAGGTGCTGACTCAGGTACCCTGCGCTCAGTGACCCTGGTCCAGATATCCATGATCACCTGTCAGGGAGATGGTATAGAAATCTTCAGTGTACAGTGGTACCAGCAGAAGCCAGGACAGGACCCTGTCTGGTCATATATGACAATAACAAGCGCTCCACAGGGATTCTCTGATGCTAAGACTTCAACTTGGAAGACACAACCACCCTAAACCCCAGCAGGACCATGGCCAAGGACAAGGCTGATTATTACTGTCAAGTGTGGTACAACAGCAATGCTCACAGTGACAGAGCCAGACAGGGTTGTGAGACACAATCCCCCTTCCTTTCTTGTGTCACACTCTCCTTCAGTCCCTGGAGGACTGTAGACAAATAACAGAGGTCTGGTCCAGGACTCCAGGTCTGAGATTCCCAGACCTCTCTCCCACCACAGCCCTCCAGACAGCCTCTGTGCCATGTGGATCAGGGGTGCTTGTGCAGGACGTAGGATGAGGCTGTCATGTTTTCTGGCCTAGGGTACTTGCTGGGGATGAGAGATCAGACTGGAAGGACAGAGAGACATCCATGCAGACAAGACAAGGTCAAAGTGACAAGGCAAAGTCTCAACTTTCCACTGAACAGAATCATTGTGGTGTTTAGGTATGGAAGCAATTCTCCTTTAGAGCTAAAACCTCTAGGGCAGCAAAGTGTATGTTAATGGTACAAGGAGTGAAAATTCTGCAGTGGGTCACCCAGAATGTCAGTGAGTATGGACATTCCCAATTCTACCTCTTCATTCCTGGACCCATCAATGCTGGCTATGGGAGAAACAGCATCGTGTATAGGACACATATTTAGTGTAAATATCACCTCCTGCCAAATCTTGCCACAGTCCCACAAGGTGTTGCATGTGAATGGACAGTAAAAAAGTCTGTAAGAGGCCAGTAGTCCATCATTCCAGCCAGCTGTTTCGAATGCTGCAGAGCATGGTAGAACCAGTGAATTCCACACTGTGGAATGTGTAGAACCACACATTCCGTAGTGTGCATCAGCACACTACAGTCCTTTTCTGAGGTGAAATGTGAGCTTTGGACAGAACCACACTGAATACTGGAACAGTGGGTGAGGCATTCAGTAAGTGCAGGGGTCAGAGTTTGGGAAGAAGCACTGCAGTCAAAGAAAGCAAGTTCCCATCCAGAGTAAAGGTCTCTTCCACCAAGAACAGTGTGATCGTTTCCATGATGGGAGAAATCTAATGTCATTCACCTGCCACCAGGCTCCTGGCTTATTCCTAAGGGAATGGTCTCATCTGGGAACTCTGAGTTGGTCTCTGCTCTTGGAAGATTGGTCCCTCAGAAGTAGCCACAGTCATGTCAGCTTTATGAGGGGACAAACCTAGGGATTATCCCATGAATAATCTAAAAACTTCCAACATGGCCACTTTGCTATAGGCCCACTGACAAGTTCAAGAGTGGATGCACAAGAAAGCTAATCACTGTCCCCAGACGTGTCACATTATCCATCTGATTATGAACACCATTTCCCTTTGAGGACTCACACTTCTGGGCATTCTCATGAACACAAATAGCTCTGTGTTCAATTGGGGGTGGGGTCTCCTCACATATCTCTTCCTCAAACATCTTTTACCACTTTCCTTTATTCCTCCCAAGGCTCTAACCATCCAGCCAAACTGAGTCAGAGAACATAGGTTAGAATTAAGCCACTTCTGTCCTTCTCTCAGCCCAGGTGAAATAAACAAACTACTCTGCTCAAATGTTGCCTCATTGAAAAATTGTCCATATTGTGCAGGGTTGTCCCAGATGACGGCTGCAGGACTACTATTGTTAACTAGCACAGTTGGCTGCACATCACACAGGAACCTCTTAAACCAACCACGGTTTTTCCTCTGGATCAGCTGTTCATAGGATTGTCCCCACTGGGTCATAATTGTGCCAGACACAGAAAAGACAATGCAGTATGGGCTGGTGTCATGGCCATCAGGCCTTTTCCTCATGCATCTCACCTGTGCCTTCAGGACCTGAGGAAGCCTGATCTCAAATATGCCTCTTCTTTTTGATGATGGAGAGCTGCTGTGAATGCCCAATTCCATGGCATGGTTGATCTGATAACACAGTTTGTGAAGGCAGCTCAGTCACATAGTTACTTAGTGGCGGATTAGGAACCTACAGTCTCTGTTAAGTTTCAATAGCAAGCCAAAGTGTGTGCCAACTGGAGCTTTCTACTAATACACGTGCGAAAATAAATGGTAAGGTGCCCATCTATTTCAGTTCTAGCAACAAAGTCTTTGATTGAAACCAGTGTGTTCTGTCAAATGAGTCTGATTACTACTTGGTCCTGCCATTCATCATGGTAACAACACACACCTTACCATTGGTGATAAAATGGAACTGCCGTCTCCTGAAAATGCAAAGATTCCCAACTTTGGCACCCAATCCAGAGTTCAAAATCACTAGAAAACACATGTGTATATATCATATACATGGGCATATATGTATACAAATACATCTTCAACATATACACAGCAGGCACAATTAGTATATAAGTGCACAAGCACTCACAAGTATATTCATATATATGTGTGTGTATCAGTATATGATAGAAAGGAGTGTGTGACAAGAATTTGATGTCATGTGTCACAAACACACAAGTGAGGCACGGAGAAGCCACGGTCACTGTCAGCTACAAACGGGCTCCTGCTTCCCACGCAGTTTGCAGGGAGGCTCACGCAGGGCTCCTCTTGTGACTCACCTTCCCTGGAAACATATAACATGAGAATTCTAACACATCACCCACACCTGCCCCCGATTTTATAACCTATGGGAAAATAGCACCTTGGAACTCAACTAGCATAGAATCGCAGACACCTAAGGTCATCAATGTCCCCACATCCTCTCACAAAACAGACTCTTCCCCACAGGGACTCCAGACTCCAAGCACACTTCAGTTCTTGTCCCTTTTTCCCATCCTGACAGCAGCCACACAGTCCCCTCTGCAGAGGAGCTTCCTCCAGCCTCTCCCCACACACAACAGGCGGGTCATTTTGTCTGATGTCATTTCATTCTCTGCACAATCCCAACACTGTCCAGGTTCTCCTATCATTTAAATAACTGATTGATTTGTATTAGTTATTATCCCCCACTGGACTGGAAGTTTTTAATGCAATGAATGCCCATAAGAGTCGGAAGCATGAACATTCAAGCAGCTATTTTCCGGCAGACAGAAGTAAGTCTGAAGTCAGATGGTGGTTCTTCAGGTACAACCAATTCCCTGAGGTCCCAAATCCTCTCACTGTGTCTCCCACCATTGTGACTATGGAGACTTTGCTTTGTCTTGTTGTTGACAACAGACCTCAGGATGGCTGCTGCAGCTCCAGCTATCACTCATGGGGACAAGAGAAAGAACATTCATAAATCTAGTCAGTTTCTTTCATTCACAGACAAAACTTCCCAGAAAGATCCCCAGAAGAATGACACATCTGTGGGCTAGCTCTGGGCCACAAGGTCAATGTTGACCTAGACAGAATTGAGAAATAGTGGGGCTTCTCAATGATTATAGAAGACAAGATGCAGGTAGATGGGGTTGGTGAAGGTGTGCTGTCTCACCAAAGCAACTGTGTCCCCAGTGCTGCTCTGCCCAAGGCAGGAACCCAAGAAAGACTTGTGTCTTATTTGCACTGATATCCCAGGATGAAACCTATGGAAGACCAAGCTGGATCTGAATAAGATTTTGTTGGTTGAGTGTCCTACTGTCTCTGTCCTTGGAGCAGCAGGAGCTATAATCAGACTATGTGGTGGTCCAGCAGCTAGATCAAGTGAGACAGTCCCTGAGTCCTGTGTCTCCTGGTGTTCAGGCCCAAAACCACACCATCACCACCACCACCCCAGAGACATGAGGCCTGATACCTCAGATGGGTGCTGCCTTCTCTTCACATGAGCCTCTTCCTATTGTCATGGGTAATCTGACTCCTCGTACCTGGTCTTGTGGCTGGCAGGAGCCCCACAGACACCAGCAAATCCTCCCCTGGAGGATGCATGCCAGTGAGCACTGGGTCAAGAATCTCCACCTGGACAAAAGATTTCCCTGCACTTCCAGCTGCCAGTGTGGAGCGGCCACTAGGGGGAAGCAGAGATCACCTGGCAAAGCCTCAGGGATTCTGAATGGGAGGATTGATTACCAGGACCTGAGACCAGAAGGTAAAGATACAGGTTTACTACACTATCACCTTTGACAGATGTAAAATTCTGACTCGGAGTCTTTCATCTCTATCCTGTGGAATTTGTCTTGGGCTCTAGCACATGTCCAGGACTTCATGACGCTCCAACCCACCCCTATTCCTGCTACACTCAGTCACTGTGAATCCTTGCTCAAGCACTAGGTCTGTCCCTTTCAGGGAGGGCACCTTGGGGATACTGAGGAACAGCATCTATGACCTGCCCCAGGAGCTCTCCCTAAGCACAGACTCCTATAGCACATCAATGGCTCCCTAAAACTCCATGTGCACCTGGCAAGGGAGGAATTTTTTCCTGTTCTGATGTTCACAATATAAACCAGAAGTAGGACACACACTGACCTATGATCCTCTAGTACCTACAGAGGAAACATTCTATGATGGGTTCAGAAAATGCAGACAGACTCCCCCTCACAGCTCAATTGGGACCATGCCTCCCCAAAGCCAGGTCAGGACATGGAGAGGGATAGAGTTTGGACACCAGACTACAGGAACACAGGGGGAAAGAGAATCACCAGGGCTGAGGATGGGTTTGCAGGAACTGCCCTCCCATCTCTGCGTCCCTTGGAGCTGAGCCCATTTGTGTGTGTGTGTGTGTGTGTGTGTGTGTGTGTGTGTGTGTGTTGCGTGTTTTCTTAGTAACTGAGCTCATTTATAAAACCACAAGTCTCCTCAGCAGCAGTCACTGAGCTCTGGCTCATTTGCATAACCAGTAGGTGTCTCCAGCAAGAGGATAAGAAGGGACTGGGAGGAACCCTGCCCAGCCATGAGTTTCAGGGAGCAAAATCAAGGGACCTGCGCCATGGCCTGGACCCCTCTCCTCCTTGGATTCCTGGCTCACTGCACAGGTGCTGAGGCCAGGCTCACACCCCCTTATCCCTAGGTTCTGGGACACTCCTGGCCCTGACTCTGAGCTCAGCAGTGTGGACTGCCACTGGGGGACAAGATCTCAAGACCATCCTTTGGGATGAGGGGCTAGTGGGGTGTAATCTCTTATGTTGTCATTGGCTCTGTCTGACCCCAAAAGGGCTGCACCTGCCCAGGGAAAAGGGAGGAATGGTTCTCATTTGTTTAAAGGTTCTACCCACAAGGCCGGCACATGGGCCCCAGAACAAAGAGGACATCAGGGTGGGAAGTATCTAGAGAATCACTGGGATTTAAACCAGGGGTGGTAGTGTCCAGGGGATGATACTCTGGCTGGAACCTACCTCTCATCTTCTCTCTTGCAGGCTCCGTGGCCTCATACGTGCTGACTCAACCACCCTCAATATCGGTGAACCTGGGACAGACGGCCAAGATCACGTGTGGGGGAAACAACATTGGGGATAAATATGCTTATTGGTACCAGCAGAAGCCAGGCCAGGCCCCTGTGCTGATTATCTATGAGGATAGCAAAAGGCCCTCAGGGATCCCTGACCGGTTCTCAGGCACCAACTCGGGGAACACAGCCACCCTGACCATCAGCGGGACCCGTGCTGAGGACGAGGCTGACTATTACTGTCAGGTGTGGGACAGCAGTGCTGATGTTCACAGTGACACAGACAGATGGAGAAGTGATACAAAAACCCTTCCCGTCTGTGTCACACTCTCCTCCAGCCCCAGGAGGCCTGTGCACAGAGCAGGGAGCACTTCTGGCCCAGGTCCCCTCATCTGAGATCCCCAGACCTTCCTCCCCATCCAGCCCTCCAGGCAGCTCTGCACAGGGAGATCAGGAGAGGATTTATAGCTGAAAGCACTAGGCTATCTACTTCTCTGTGCCTGGCTGTCAACTGCAGACACAGGGGCTGGGTAGAAAAAAGACACGGGGAGACATTTGGCCAGTGGTCATGATCTCATCATTTCCATGTGGTGGTCATGGGCTAATGCTCTCCCGACTGATCAGGATTACAGTTCAAATTGTCCCAGCTCAGCTGAGTTCCTGAAGCTCTGGGGACATGGGAGGACCCCATCTACTAAAGTGGAACAGACGGGTACAGTAGACACTGAGAGGTCACCCACATCCCCTCTTCTGGGCTCACACATGCACCCACTGCTTCCTGGAGCCCATGGCCACTCACAGGGGTGATCCTCACTAGAAAGTGCTGCTGATTCAGAGATCTGCTCCCCCAGGTTTCTGTCCCTTCTCAGAGAGGTTCAGGTGAATGATCTCAAAGGCCCAGGGCCCAAGGCTCTGCCTCTGTTTCAGATGTCCTGAAAGTCCCAGCTGGAGAGCTCCCTGAGGAAGGAGGCTCCTCTGATGGCTCACTCTCTGTGGGTTGCTATCCTTCTGCCCAGGTTGATTTTCCTTCTCCTTCCAGGTTTTTACACTTGCACTTCCCTATCTCAGAGTCCGCTTCCAAGAACCCAATCTGAGATAGCCAGCATCCTGGAGACAGTCCTCAGGGGAACAGAGGGGGCCACTGTATATATCCACAAAGCTGGGATGTCTCCCCAAAATCCACAAGGTGCATGTCCAGTCTCCACCAGGTGAGATCCTTTCTTCTATTTCTATATACGGAGAAAAGACGCAGACACACTAGGTGCTCTGAGTTCTGACAGATAGTTGGAGAGTCACATCTATCTTGATGGTGAATGAGTGACATTGGGACAGTTTCCTCCTCCTCCAGACTGGCCAGAAGATATTCATCTAGGGGAGTGACACACACATGGAGTGCTCTCTCAATTCTACCCACCGACACACACACATTTTGCCCAAGAAGCCTTTTTTACATGTACCCTACCAAGAAATACGGACAGAAAACAATTTCATGAAATGTAGTCCAGTCTCTCAATGCTGACACGTAAGAAGCCACCAGATTCTCACCTTGTCCTCATGAAATCCACTAGATCCACACAAACCCAGTCTGCAAATAAAGGGAATATCAGTAATCTTTCTACCACTTGATGATATGCAACTATCCCACGACAACCACAAATAGGTTCGTTCTCCCATAAGAGGAAACAAAATACACTTTTGTCTGCTATGGATATTTATTTTTGACCCACATGATTTGATATCCTACATATTAACATTGAGATAGACAGTTTCCAACCATTAATACACCTGATGTGAGATGGTAATGGGATGAGGCAGGTGGAGAAAACATAAACATATGATTACTATGTATCCAAACACATTCCTACAACATAAGGAGAAATACGTGTTATTTGCTTGCTAATTTCTGCCACTACACTGTATTCAGAGGAAGGACAACTATAATGACTTTCTTCACCACCCACCCCTTGATCCCCTTTCTTCAGGAAAATACCTGAGCTAGTCCTCATCCTAGCCAGTTGGGAGGACTAAACCTTCATTCAGGAACATTGGTCTATTATCAGACATGCTGAATTGATCTCTGGCACATTCATGACTGTAACCATAAACCAGGGACTCCTAGGGGATCTCCTGAATGCATACATACTGCCCCTTGCCTCACTTGTGCAGTAGACACCCAGGACACCCTGTGACAGTCACCATGAATCACCCCAGCCAGTGCCCTCACATTGACTCCTGATTCACTCCCAGGAGGCGCTGAAAGAAATAAGGCTCCGACTCTGCTCACAGAGCCGTGCAGCCAGTATGCCCCAGGGATCACCATCCACAGCACACACTGCCTAAGGCTGGTGAAAGTGTCCATTCTGAAACAACTTCTCAGATCATACAGGGTCTGTAGTTTAATTCAAGCTCCCTTACCCAGAGCAGGTCAGTGAAGCCCCATGTCCCAAGTGGCCGAGTAGAACCTAGGGAGTTAAGAAGAAGAAGTGAGATTTTCCACAGCGCCTAGACCCCCACACTGTGAAGCACAGCGAGCACACAGTCCTGGGGGATGGAGAAGGGGTTGTTCCCCAAGATGCAGATGCAGCTGCAGCCAGACTGGGTGAGGCCCAGGCATCTGCAGGTGGGACAGCTCCCCAGTGAGCCTGTGGTACATCTCCGAGGACCCCTCTCTGAGTGGTTTCACCCCTGCTATGCTCCTGCTCGTAACCGAGGTGAGAAGCCCACAGGGAAGCACAGTGGGAGGCACAAGTGCCCCAATCTCCCTCCCAGTCAGGGTCCATGGGGTCAAGACCCACACTCACTGTGTCCACATCACCCCCTCCCTTAACAGGGCTGTGACAGTCACTTCACACTCAGCTGTCTTCCTCCAGCACCACTCCCTCTCCTCTCTTTCAGGTTCTGTGCCTCCCCTGACCTGCAGCCAACTCCCTCCATGTCAGTGGCCCTAATCAGGCCCATGAGCTCAGGCATGAACACGCCTCTTGGCAGCAGCAGAACCCAAGCCTGGTCCCCCAGTTGGTATATATACAGATATGAACAACCATCCGGGGCTGATTCTGAGGATGGAACATAGGTAAATGGCCCCGTGAGCATGACCAGGACTGAGAGCCAGGACTGGACTGACCATTGCTGTGCTACTTAACGTACCATTGGAAGTGCCTGGCAGTGACTCAGGTTACATAGAAGGATGGGGGCTGGGACACAAACCATCCTGCCATGGTCTGGCTCTCACTCTCACCTGTCCTCTGAGCAGCTGCTGGTCAGGCCTAAGAGCATGAGCTTCCTAGTCCTGGCCTGGACCCTGAAGGATGGGAGACTAGCAGGTTCCCTGTCCCCAGATCTGTGTTTACCCTCCTGAAGAGTGGCAGAGTGGTGAGCTCTTGCATGGGAACTATTGCCAAGCTTCAGAGTAGATAATACAGATTTGGATTGTCATTATACATCACGTGGGCCCCAGATGTAATTACATGTCACTCTGAAGGGAAGACAGCTGTATCAGAAAGCACAGTCCTGCAGGAATTTCCCTTCTCCTTGGGTACAACCAGCCTGAATGGGTCCCAGCGGCTCTGTGACTCCTTGATTTCCTGGATGAGGTTTTCAACAACCTACAGGGCTGCCCAAAGATTACTGAGGAGGGGACCAGGCCCTGCTGCTCCAGGCGCTTCCCTTCTTTAGGTTTACAGAAACTGAGGAAGAAGAGAAGACACCACCATGGGGCCCATCTGGAGACCTTTTCCTGGCACCACTGTCCACCCACTGTCCCAAGTCACCTGTGCCAGGCAAATCTGACCCTTAGCTGACCTCTGACCCACATGGACTCACACCCATCCCCGTGTGACACTGTGTGGTGGCCCCGGCTACATTAGGGCCTTACTGTAGCTCTGAGGGGAAAGATCTTTTCCAGTATTTGATATTTCATTATAAGGTCAATTTCTTTCCATGATTCTTTGACCTGTGATTTTGAAATTGATTTTGAGAGTAATTGCATGAGGTCCAAGAAAAGAAAATTTATTAAGAAGGAGGAGCAGAAGCTTCTACCATTTCCACCCTGGCTTCTGTTAGGAGGATAGCTTCTGGGAGTGGGAGACACAGAAGTGAAATCATTTTCTCCTCACAAAAGAATGGAAAGTACAATTAGAATTTTTCATCTAAATTTTACTTAATGACCTGATCAATCAGAAACAGGATTTTGGTGGCAAACTCTATGGCCAAAACAATCATTCCATGGATTTTTCAGGTGAAAGGATCATGAAAAGGTCCCTCTAGAGAATTACAATCTGGAGATTCCCACCAGAGCCTTCTTCATCAACAGGACAATAAATAGCCTGGCACCTCCCTCCCTGGTCAGCAGGGAGGTCGCTGTGGTCAGGTGCAGCAGCGCCCCCACAGGCAGCTGGCAGAACTGAGAGCATAAGCTGTCGCCTTCAGGACCTGATTCATTCTGGCTGAGGTTGTCCCACATCCCTTCCCAGTCTGAGCAGCCTTCCTCACCTGCTGCAGAGGACTCCTGCTGCCTTGTACCTACCAGGTTCTGCTCTTTCTCTCCCTCTCTGATGACAGGGACCTACACTCCTGTCCCTGCCCTCCTTTTCCTGTCAGGAGCCCCCTTCCATCATGTTACTGCTCAGGAAAGCAGTGACAGGTCATCCACATGGGACAAGACAGGGGACTGAACCAGAGGCAGGTGAAGCCCCTCAGTCACCCTGTGTCTACAGCTGGATAAGATGGGAAGGGAGGAGTAGCAACTACCACCCTGATTGAACTCAGCCCCCACGTGACCTAAGGTGAAATAGGGCTGGTCTGAACCCACTTTGTGTCAAATCTGTCCCCACCTCAGCAGCTTCCTCTTAGAGGCCCCTCTACGTGCCCAGCAGCTTCCTCGAGGACCTGATTTATTACCTGGAAATTACCTCTTACCACATCTGACACATCCCTCTGAGCCCAGAATGCTCACCTCAGGAGAAAAGTCCACATGAGCCCTGAACTGGGTTGGAATCCCAGGTCCCTTAGGTTCCCCACCTTCCTTCAGATTCTCTACTACGGTCCCCAATGACACTGACTGGGCTTTTCCCACTCACGTCTCACTACTTCTTTCTTCCTCCTGACCTTCGAGCAGCTCCTGAACTCCCTCTTCAGGATGGGCCCTGACCTCTGATCATGGAGCAGCCTGCCGGTTCGGTTCTGTCTCATCTCTGGATCCATGTGTTCCAGCACAAAACTCACCACTGATGCCTTGGTCCCCATTCCACCAGGAAGGCTTGTCCACT